AGAGTGTGTGTGTGTGTGTGTATGTGAGAGAGAGAGAGAGAGAGAGATTAATATAGTTTAAAATGAACATGTTGTCAGCATTTACTCACCCTCAAGCGGTTCCAAACCTGTTTGAGTTTCTTTCTTCTGCTGAACACACACATAAAAAAGGTATTTAAAGAATGTTGGCAACCAAACAGTTTCTGGTAGCCACTGACTTCCATAGTATGAAAAATAAAATACTGCAGTGTCAAACATTCTTCATTCTTTTTCAGAAGAAGAAAGAAACTCATACAGGAACGGCTAATGATGAAAGAATTACCATTTTTGGGTGAACTGTTCTTTTAAGTGTGTAAACACACACACACTCTCTCTCTCTCTCACATACACACTCACTCACACACACACACACACACACACACACACACATGTCCCGTGATGCTGAGCGCTGTGTGTGTGTGTCTCAGGTGTTCCTGCGGGAGCGTCTGCGGCAGCGTCTGCAGGAGCAGCTTCATCAGGAGGTGCTGAGGAGGATCGTGTGTCTGCAGAGAAGCTTCAGGACGCAGCAGGAGAGGAGACGCTTCTGCAGACAGAGACGAGCCGCTCGACTCATACAGGTACAAACACCGCATTCGGCTCTTACTGTCACTGCTTTGTCTCAGCAGCTTCATTTAATGCGGTATTTATTAATAATATTAGTGTGGTATAAATTAAGCAGTTGTCCATGAGGGGATGTGCATCACTGTGACTTTACTAAAATTAAAAAAACATGGTACTAATGTTTAAAAAGAGTATATAAAGTTATAAAATATATAAAATATAAAATAATAATATGCATTTAAAAATATATAAACTATTTAAAAATATATACATTTTATTGTATAAAACAGTATATGATTATTTCAATCATTTAAATTATTTAAAGTTTTAAAAATATATAAATTAAGTTACAAATATATATTATAATATATCCTGTAAAAATGTATGCATTCATTATTTTTTTTTAAACATACAAAATATCAAAATATACCTTTTTAAAAGTAGGTAAATTAATTATTTAAAATAACAATCATTATTTTAATAATGTTAAGCAATTAGATAACACAAGATAAAATTCTGCAATATTATTATCCCAATTAACAAAACCCCAAACGATTACATGTATTTAAGCAGTAAAATGAAGTACTGGCAGTAAAGTAAAATTAGAGCAAAATAATACTTAATAACAAAAAATAACAGCCATTAAAAGCAAGTCAAATAAAATAATGGGCCATTAAAAAAATTAGGACAAAACCATGCATAATAACAAGAATACAAAATACAAAAAAAGCAGTAAAATAAAATACGGGGCAATGACATAAAATTAGAACGAAATAATACATAATAACAAAAATGCAATAAATCAGTAAAAAAAAAAAAGGTCATAAAATAAAATTAGAACAAAATAATCCATAACACAAATAAAAACATTTTTTCAAAACATACAATAAAGCAGTAAAATAAAATCCCAGGCAATAAAATAAAATCAGAACACAGTAATAGATAATAATACAAATACAATTTGTAAAAAATTAAATCAAATTAATAATAAAAAAGTAAATGTGTCCCTGCAGCACAAAAGCAGTGTTAAGTCGCTGGGGTATATTTGTAGCAACAGCCAACAATACATTGTATGGGTCAAAATTATTGATTTTTCTTCTATGCCAAAAATCATTAGGATATTAAGTAAAGATCATGTTCCATGAAGATATTTAGTAAATTTCCTACCGTAAATATATCAAAACTTAATTTTTGATTAGTAATATGCATTGCTAAGAACTTCATTTGAACAGCTTTAAAGATGATTTTCTCAATATTTAGATTTTTTTGCACCCTCAGATTCCAGCTTTTCAAATAGTTGTATCTCGACCAAATATTGTCCGATCCTAACAAACCATACATCAATGGAAAGCTTATTTGTTCAGCTTTCAGATGATGTATAAACCTCAATTTTGAAAAATTTACCCTTAAGTCTGGTTTTGTGCTCCAGGGTCACAAATAAAAAGTAAAGGGGAGCTTAACTGTCTATAGAGTCAGCTATTTATCATATATCATCACATATCATTTTACTAAGTAGTATGCAGTCTGTGCAGCGCAGTAAGCAGGATTGTGTGTGTTTCTCAGCGCTGGTGGCGGGACTGTCTGACTCGATCGGAGCTCCAGCAGGGGGCAGCACTGCGTCTGCAGGCGTCCTGGAGAGGCTTCAGAGAGCGACAGCTGTACCTGCGGCGGAGGAGAGCAACGCTAGTCATCCAGATGCGCTGGAGGAGAGTCCTGCAGACGCGACACACAGCCGCGCGCCTCATTCAGGCCGTCTGGAGGAGCTGCAGACACAGACGCAGCGCCGCCGTCACGCTTCAGGCCGCCTGCAGGGGGCAGCAGGCCCGGCACAGGTCAGGACACTTACATCAGCGCTTTCATCCACTGCACTGAAGGCACAGATTTGTATCAGAAAGGCCTGCAAGTAACCTAAATAGAGATGTATGCAGGAATGAGGCCCTAATTAGGGATGGTAATGATTAATTTATGATAAATGAACTGCATAAATGTCCGCTTGTGTTTATTAAATGGATGAATCTTTTATAAATGGACTAATTAAGCTTATTTATGAGAATAAAATGTCTCTCATAGGTGTAGGATGGTATACCTTATTTTATTTTTTAGTTATGTTTATCTATTTTTTACTGCATGTAATTGTAATGATTTATAATTAGGGGTGTTAATGAATCATTCATATTTATAAACTATTAGTCAACTTTTTTTTTTTAAATGTTTTTTTTTGTATTTTATTTTTTTAAATAGTATTTAATCATTTGTATTGTATGTTTTTAGCAATGTTATACTTTTTATATATAATAAAAAATAGTACTTTAGTATTTTTATTTTATATTTTTAGCATAAAAGTAATATAATTGTTCTACTTTATTTTAGTTTTATTTATATTTATCTATTTTTCCCACTTGATTAAAAATGTGAATTATATATGTAGAGTCTCTCATGGGTCTAGAATGAGAGGAGTCATTTTTTTTACTTCTTTTTTTAAAAGATGGTATTTTATATTTGTAATATATTTTTATTTTATATTTTTGGCATAAAAACAATCTAACGGTAATACTTTATTTTTGTTTTATTTGTTTAATTGTTTGATCTATTCGTTTTTTTAATATTAAAAATTTAGATTATGTGATGTATTTTTAATATTTAATTTCCTTTTTAAAAAATAGTATATTTTATATTTTTGCATTCAAATATGTTTTATACTTTATTTTTGTTTTATGTTTCTGCTTTTTCCCCCCACTTTATTAAATTACAGAAAATTGCGTGTTTATATATATATATATATTTACATTACATTTACATTTAATTATTTAGCAGAAGCTTTTATCCAAAGCGACTTACAAATGAGGACAATAAAAGCAATCAAAATCAACAAAAGAGCAATGATATGCAAGTGCTATAACAAGTCTCAGTTAGCTTAACGCAGTACATGTAGCAAGGGTTTTTTAAAGAATAGAATTAGAATAGAGAGTACTAGAGTTAGCGGGTCAAATAAAGGTGGAACAGATGTGTTTTTAGTCGTTTCTTGAAGATGGTTAAGGACTCAGCTGCTGGGATTGAGTTGGTCAGGTCATTCCACCAGGAGGGAATAGTTAATTTAAAAGTCTTGTGCTTCTTTGAGATGGCACAATAAAGCGACGTTCACTTGCAGAACGCAAGCTTCTAGAGGCACATAACTCTGAAGTAATGAATTTAGGTAAAGGGGTGCAGAGCCAGTGGTGGTTTTTTAGGCAAACATTAATGCCTTGAATTTAATGTGAGCAGCTGCTGGTAGCCAGTGCAAATTGATGAACAGAGATGTGACGTGCGTTCTTTTTGGCTCATTCAAAATTTATCTTGCTGCTGCGATCTGGATTAATTGTAAAGGTTTGATAGAACTGGCTGGAAGACCTGCCAAGAGAGCATTGCAATAGTCCAGCCTGGTGAAGGAGTTATGGTTGATGTGTCTAACTGGATGGTGAAATTGTGATGAAACGATGGGTTTGATGGAACCACAAGCAGTTCTGTCTTGACAAGGTTGGGTTGAAGGTGATGGTTCGTCATCCAGCAAGAAATGTCTGTTAGACATGCTGAGATGCGAGCAGCTATCGTCGGATCATCAGGATGGAATGAGAGGTAGAGCTGAGTGTCATCAGCATAGCAGTGGTATGAAAAGCCATGTTTCTGAATGACAGAACCTAGCGATGCCATGTAGACAGAGAAGAGAAGTGGTCCAAGAACTGAGCCCTGAGGCACCCCAGTAGCTAGATGTTGCGACTTGGACACCTCACCTCTCCAAGATACCCTGAAGGACCTATCTGAGAGGTAAGACTCAAACCACTGGCGTGCGGTTCCTGAGATGGAAGTGAAAGATGGAAGACAGAAGTGAAACAAGTAGCAGGAAAAAGGATGAATCAAAAGCAATACTTATATCCCTTGCCGGTGTCCCTGCCCGGTGGAGTCGCACGGTAGAGTCGATGGTCTTTACACTCTTCGGTCTTATAGAATATATAGTCTTATAATATTATAAAAGATTTATGCATAAATCTCATTGGTCCAAAATCTCACTCCACATCTTTCAGACACCAGATTCGTTCTGATTGGCTCTGATTGGACAGCTGATGTTCCGAGAGCGTTGATATTTCATATGTATATAAATAAACATAGGTGTCCATAAAGTGTCTTAATATTTAGTTGATTTACCGAGTGTGTAGTTGGTCCTTACAGGATAAAAGTGTCATAAATGTGTGTTGTTTTTTTCCCAAGGTGCCGCATTCTGAGAGAGCTGCGACGTGGAGAGAAAAGCCTCTGTGAAAACACTGTGAGCAAAAGTTTACACGCCCATCAAAACCCAGCTGACGTCCAAGAGGAGAAGCGAGAGAGTCGATCCACCAGAGCTCGCAGAAGCGTAGACGACAGCACGCTGAAGAGCCGCTCCAAACGCGAAAGCAGGAGGCAACGGGAACTCCAGCAAGCCACGTTCAATCTAGAGCTGCTCAAAGTCCGGTCCGGTTCAGTGGACGACGCGCTTCCCGCTCAGACCGCGCTCTCCAAACATCAACCTCCGGACAGTCGGGAAAGCTTCGAGCTCCTCATCCTTCCCGATGAGGAACCGGCGACGTCCCAAACCGAATCCGAGCCGACGGAGGAGAACCGGAGCAGTCCGGCGTCCTTCAAACCTCACTTCTACATCGCAGACGAGGACGGCAGCCCGCTCAAGCAGACCCAGGAGAAGAAGGAGTCTGTGGTGGTCATAATCAGCATGCAGGAGAACCCAGTCGAGCACAGCAGCCTGGAAGCTCTGCAGAAACTCCAGCCTATGGATGCTCAAGAGGTTTGTGGAGACACCGAGGACAGAGCGAATGGATTGTCGTCCTCAGATCATTCAGACGACCCTGAACCTCAAACCCCTTCTTCCAAACCCCTCCAGCTGGACTTGAGGGACTCAGAGGCCAAGAAGGAGGTTCAGAAGAAGTTTGTTTCTCAAAGCATCAGCATCAGTATGAAGGAGAAAGCCTTCTGTCCCAAACGCAGCCAACTGACCTTCTCCAAGTGAGTTTACGTCCACCTGACCTGCCAGATCTTCCTGCGGGAGCAAACATCTCATGCAGTGACATGCAGAGAGTTTGATGTGTTTTTATGTGTTTTTCAGGTCTGACAAAGACCTGGTGAATCAGGAGCGATCTCTGGAGATCCAAAGAGAGGCGGGATTCAGATCGTTAAAAACCAGAGAGGTGAGAAACTTTATCTGTTCAGAATTTTTAATTGCAGAAGCATTTCTTCTTCTTCTTTTTTTAAAGCAAAAAGCCTCGTGAAGCCGTGGTTTACAGTGAATTTATAACAGCTAAGGGGCGTTGTTAGGTACGACGAAGCAGAGTTAAACCCCCTTAGCTGTTATAAATTCACTGTAAACCACGGCTTCATGGGGCTTATTGCTTTTATAAAACGGTTATTTCATATACGTAGTAAGGTTTCACAAAATAAAACAGAGCAAATAAAGTGTAATGATATTAATAAAAACAGTATTCTTCCACCAAACAATGTAGCTCCTCAGAAACAGTTGTGGTTGCTACAAAGTGGTTGCCGAGCAACACACAAACGTAAACAAAGGTGTATGTTACTTTGTAGAGTCATTTACAACAGCTTCGAACGCGGCTCAGCCAATCAGAATCAAGGACCGGAACTATCTGCTTTATAAGTGAGATTTTTAAATATTTCTTTCAAATGTATATTATTTATTTCATTGTATTATTTCAAAAAAGTTTTTAGTATAAAAACAGTATTTTTAATACTTTAATTATTGTAATTAATTTTACTTAATTTTTACTATATTATAATTCTTTATTTGTTACATTTGAATATTTATATTTTTAGTAATATATAATCTATATTACTGTATATCTAAATATCATGTATTATTTCAAAAACATTATATAGTATAGTTATAGTTAATATTGCAGTTATATCGTTATTATAGTTATATTTTAATAACTATATAACTTAAATTGTTATACTATAATTTTATTTTTATTTGTATTACATATTCATATTTTATATGAACTTTTTTGTTATCTATATTACTGTATATCTAAAAAAATGATATGTATTATTTAAAAAAATTATATTGTATAGTTATATCATTATTATAGTTATATTTTAATAACTGTAATACTATAATTTATAACACCTGTTGCATGAAGCTTTAACTAGTTTCAGGGTAGGTTTAGTTATTAGTTATTATTAGTAGTAATTATGGCAGGGCTGGCATTCCATATTTCATAACCAAATCTGACATCTTTTCTAGATAGGACTAATCAAATAGAAGACTAATAAAGCTGACTGGATAAAGCTGCCGTGTCTCGATTAACCAGAATCTGAAGACTGTCTTTTCAAGTTTTTCGGGGTTGTCTGGTCTTGAACGCGAGGCTTCTCTAAACTGGTCATTTTCTGAGCTGCAGCTGCAGCCGTTGATGAATATCGAGTTTGCAAGTCTAGATGCACGCGACTGCCATTAACATGGATTTCTCCATTACTCACTCATTCTCTTATCTTAAATACTCTCTCTTTCTCTCATACTTTCTCTCATTCACTTGGGTTTGGTGTCGTTAAGTTGTCTAGTTGTTAGTTCTTCAAACAGCTTTACGTGAAACGCTGAAACCAGAACGAATCTGATAGCTATTTAATTTGGTCTGAAGTTCACAAAACATTACATACGATCTGATTCTGGATTTGTTTCCCAGAAAGAGCAGAAGAGGATCCAGAAGACCATGTCGTCAGGTGACCTTGGGAAAATGGATTCGCTCAGGAAGTCGATCTCGCAAACCGATGGCAGGTCAGATGGGAACAAAACTCTATTTTAGGACTGCACAGTAAATAGAAATAAAATCAATATTGGGCAGTTGTCATATCGCGCAGTCAGGCTGCGATGTTAAAAAATGTTTGTTTGAGAATAAAGAAATTAAAACAAAATGATTAGTATTGTAATTTTACAGTAAAATAATTAATTTATTTAATTATAATTAAAAAAAAAATTCAATATTTTATTTTACAGTACAATAGTATTATTACAATATATTTCTTAATTAGTTTAATATATTTAATAATAATTACAATAAGATTTTTAATAAAAACTTTAAAGAAAAAAGTCATTTTTCTTTTATTTCTTTTTTTTTTCAATAATTATTCTAGAATGATTACATCTTTCCAAATAGAGCATCTGGTGAAACTTCTTGATTTAAAAAAAAAAAAAACATTTCCGCAATATATCGCAGAAAAACAAAAATATCGCAATGTCAGATTTTTCCATAATCGTGCAGCCATACTCTATTTGCTTTTATTATTCATGTTCCTGGTCTTTTTTTGTAAATAATTCATTAGTGCATGAAAATTTGGTCTTTCATCCAAACGACGTTTCCCAACAGGGTCAGAGGCAAAATGCGATTCTGGAGTAAAAGCAAACGTGACGATAAAAAGATGTCCACCAGGGGGCGCTCCGCAGATTCAGAGCTCACCGGTGTGTGATTTTTCACTCACTTATTTCTCATCTCTACATGAGCCTTTTCTAATAAGTTTTCTGTCTCGCAGACTCTCCTCTAGGAAGCCCTGAGCAGGCCGGACTGTCCGAACGCGGACACGACAGCAAGGAGAACCGCGAGCCCATGATGAGCATGATGTCGATGAAGAGGAGACGCAGTGTGAAGATCAGTAGCGTGTCGCTAGAATCCTCCGCCTGGCAGAACGACTCGCTGCACATCCTGACTAGCACCGCTGACTATCGCAGCATGAACGACTTCCTCATGAAGAAGGTCTGTGCTTTCATTCTGCTGTTTAACTTATTGCATCACCAAAGCGGGGTTATTATCATTAACTAAAACTAAAACCATTTTTTGTTGCTTGAAGTAAAATAAATGTTAACTGAAGTCAATATAAAAAAAAAAAACGTAAACTTTTAATTTCAGTTAGTTGCCAAGGCAAAATTTCTCATTTTCATTTAGTTAAGTTTAACTTGATGTACTAAAATAACTAAAACTGAAATAAAAATGAATAAAAAAACCTATATATACATCTTTAATAGATAACTAATACAATTGACAAAAATGCATGACTTAGAATTACTAAAACGGTAAATAAAATTAAAATGAAAACAGAATATAAAAAAATTATACTTTGATTGGATCTCATTCATGAAACTCAAGCACAATGAATATGTGTAAATTATTCATAAAACCATTTTAGTGTAGCTAAAAATCTTTTAATTTGACAGTTTACGAAAGAATATTTTTGCACAGAAGTTTACATTAGAATGTTGTTGTGCGACTAGAATTGTCATTATCACTTACTTAAGAATAGTTACACGAATTAATTTGTGTAAATTGTTCGTAAAAAACATTCTTGGGTAAATTAGTTTACATATGAATATTTTATGTGACAGTTTACGAAAGAATAGTTTTATGCAACAATTTACGTTAGAATGTTTTTATGCAACTGTGGAATTTTCACTATAATTTACTTAAGAATAATTTTACGAATTAATATCTGAGTAACTTGTTTGAAAAACCATTTTTGCCCAAACTCTTGAATTGTTCGCATTGATGTTTTTGTGAAAATGTGAAATTGTCACTATAATTTACTTAAGATAAATTTTACTAATGATTTCTGTGTAAATTGTTTGTTAAACTATTCTTGTGTGAACCGATGCATTCAGTTTACATGAAAAGGTTTACGTGACAGTTTTACGAAAGAATAGTTTTACGCAACAGTTTACGTTTGACTGTCACTAGAATTGTCACTAGAATTAACTTATGAATAGTTTTACTAATGAATTTGTGTAAATTGTTCGTAAAACCATTTTTGCGTAAACTGTCGCATTCAGTTCACATATGAATGATTTTATGTGACAATTTACGAAAGAATAGTTTTATGCAACAATTAAAGTTAGAATGTTTTTGTGCAACTGTAGAATTGTCACAATAATTTACTTAAGAATAGTTTTACTAATGATTTCACTTTCAATTGTTCGTAAAACCATTCTCACGTAAACTGTCGCATTTAGTTTAAATATTAATAGTTTTATGAAACTTTACGAAAGATTTTTTTTAACTTAATAATTGACATAAGAACGGTTGTGTATGACCGTAGAAATGTCACCATATAATTTAAGATTAGCTTTATATGAATGAATACTTGTAAAAATTGTTTCGTAAAACCGTTCTTGTGTATAAACTCGAGAATAGTTTACGAATTGTTTTACCATTTACCTTAGAATGTTTCGTGGAACTATAAAATTCATAGAAATTGTTAGTTTTCTGAATTAATTTCTGCATAAATTGATAGTAATATGGTTTTATGCGACAATTTATGCATCAAGAATGCTATAATGTGACCGTTTATGTAAAAATGGTTTTATGCGACAATTTACATTATGTAAAATGTAAGAATATTTGTACAAATATCTCTACAAATTGTTCATAAAACCATTCTTGTTCAACCTGTTACATGCAGTTTACATAAGAATGGTTTTGTATGACTAGAATTTTTGCCATCATTTACATAAGAATAGTTTTATATCTGTGCAAATTATTTGCAAAAAATTTCTTGCATAAATTGTATGCATAAGAAAGGTTTTACACAATTTATATAAAAATTGTCACAACAATTCAGTTGTTACAAAACCATTACGTAAGTACGGTTTTAGAAGGATTTATGGAGAAATTCGTTCAGCAAAATTCTGCTAAATGAATCACACGGTAAAATGTGTTTAATGAAGTTCTTATTTGAAGTTGGAAGAAGTTGCCAAAATATTAAATATCTCTCATCGGACATTTCATAGATCAGCGATCTAGAAGCTGAAGACAGTCAGAAGGACACACCGGTGGATGTGGTCTTCAAGAAGGCCCTGAAAGAGTTTCGCCTCAACATCTTCAACTCGTACTCTACTGCTCTGGCCGTGAGTTTCTGAAATCCAAAATTTTACTGTGACTTTAAAGCAACCCGGAAAACAACTTCTCACTTCCAGAATCGCCCTGAATGTGTCTCACCCTCAGATGGATGATGGCAGGAGCATTCGTTATAAAGATCTCTATGCTCTGTTCGAGCACATCTTAGAGAAGAACATGCGTCTGGAGCAGAGAGACTGGAGTGAGTCGCCGGTTAAAGTCTGGGTCAACACGTTTAAAGTCTTCCTTGATGAGTTCATGACCGAATACAAGCCAGTGGACGGAACCATCAGTAAGGTAAAGCGTCTCTCTGAGGTCCACAAACACGTATTGTCCTCCAAAACTCTTCTGAGACTTTGTGTTTGTTTTTCAGGCCTCTAAACCTGAGAGGAAGAAGAGGAGGAAAAAGGAATCGGACACCGTCAGTCCTTGTTTTAAACTCCATTTAGATCATTATTCTTGTGTAATGGGCTTGTGTAACAGTTAGCAATAAAATGGCAAAAACAACAAAAAATTCTAATACTTTAAAATTAAAATGAAAGCTGAAAATGTAAAAATAAAAACTAATTCTACTTTGATTGGACCTCATTCATGAAACTCAATGAGTAAATTATTCGTAAAACCATTCTTGCATAATTGTCACATTTAGTGTAGCTAAAAATCTTTTATGTGACAGTTTACGAAATAATATTTTTACACAGAAGTTTACATTAGAATGTTTTTGTGCAACTAGAATTGTCACTATAATTTACTTAAGAATAGTTACACGAATTAATTTGTGTAAATTGTTCGTAAAAAACATTCTTGGGTAATTTGTCGCATTCAGTGTAGGTAAGTGTTTTTTATGTGAAAATTTACAAAATAATAGTTTTATGTGGCAATTTACGTTGCAATGTTTTTGTGCGACTGTAGAATTGTCACTATAAGAAGTTTTACGAATTAATTTCTATGTGAATTGTTGACGAAAAACATTCTTTAGTAAACTTTCTGTCATCATTTTACATATGGTTTTATGCAAAAATTAACGAAAGAATAGTTTTACGCAACAATTTATGTTAGAATGTTTCGTTAGAATGTTTTTGTGCAACTGTAGAATTTTCACTATAATTTACTTAAGAGTAATCCTGCAAATGAATCAATTGTTTGTGAAAATCATACTTGCGTAAACTGTCAACTTCAGTTTACATATGGTGTTTTGTGACCGCGTACGAAAGAATAGTTTACGCAACAATTTACATTAGAATGTTTTTGTGCGACTGTAGAATTGTCACTATAATTAAGAAGTTTTATGAATTATTTTCTATGTGAATTGTTGACAAGAAACATTCTTTCGTAAACTTTCTGTCACAATCATTTTACATATGAATGGTTTTATGCAAAAATGTACTAAATAATTTTACGCAACAATTTACGTTAAAATATTTTTGTGCAACTGTAGAGTTGTCACTATAATTAAGAATATTTTTACGAATGCTTTTCTGTGTAAGTTGTTCATAAAAACCATTCTTGCATAAACGGTTGCATTCAGTTTACATGATGGTTTTATGTGACAATTTACGAAAGAATAGTTTTACGCAACGATTTATGTTTTTTCACTATAATTAAGAAATTACTTAAGAATAGTTACACGAATTAATTTGTTTAAATTGTTCGTAAAAAAACATTCTTGGGTAATTTGTCGCATTCAGTGTAGGTAAGTGTTTTTTATGTGAAAATTTACAAAATAATAGTTTTATGTGGCAATTTATGTTGCAATGTTTTTGTGCGACTGTAGAATTGTCACTATAATTAAGAAGTTTTATGAATTATTTTCTATGTGAATTGTTGACAAGAAACATTCTTTCGTAAACTTTGTCAATTATTTTACATATGAATGGTTTTATGCAAAAATGTACTAAATAATTTTACGCAACAATTTACGTTAAAATATTTTGTGCAACTGTAGAATTTTCACTATTATTTACTTAAGAGTAATCCTGCAAATGAATAAATTGTTTGTGAAAATCATACTTGTGTAAACTGTCAACTTCAGTTTACATATGGTGTTTTGTGACCGCGTACGAAAGAATAGTTTACGCAACAATTTACATTCGAATGTTTTTGTGCGACTAGAATTGTCACTATCATTTACATAAGAATACATTTACGAATGAATATCTGTGTAAATTGTAAAACCATTCGTGAGTAAACTTCATAATAGGCTTTATGAATTCTTGGTAACATCTTCAGCGCTCTGCTGCCCTCTGCAGGTGGAAGAGCACATGGGTCACATCTTTAAATCCACTCAGTACAGCATCCCAACATACTGCGAGTTCTGTTCGTCACTCATCTGGATGATGGACAAAGCGTGTGTCTGCAAACGTGAGTCCTGTTTAATCATTTTCAGTCTGGGAAATTTTTCACTCAACGTTATAGAGGGACTCAAGCGAGAGTATTTTCATGCCTTCATTTTATTTTCATGAATAATAATTACAGCAGTGGTGTCTCTCTCACAAAATACAATAAATATATTTTTGTGCCATTATCTTAAGTATAATTTAAGATATACATTTCTAATACAAGTTAACCAAGATGTCTTGGTTTTGACCAGGATTATTATCTTTTATTAAAACTAAAACTATAAAGAAACATTTTCATCACTTAAATTAAAATAAACATTAACTTAAACATATATATTATGTTTGTATATGTATAATGTTGTATCAAGGCAGCACTGTTGAAGTACTAAAATAACATTTAAATAAACAAAAACTTAATAAAAACTATACACCCATTGACAAAAATAAAAAAACTAAATTACTAAACTTTACCTAAATTAAAATGAAAACACAAAATATAAAAAATTAAATTCTAAATATTAACCAATCTGTATCAATGATAGTAAGTAACAAAGTTTTGACACAGTTCAGTCTTCATAGTCTGCAGTCTCTCTATCAGTTTCTCTTTTCCCGTATTTTGATCTGAGTCACTAAGTGTCTGTCTGCTAGTCTTGAGAGCAGCATAATCAGATTTTTTTCCTGTAAATTCATCCGATTTCATCTGGACATGATCGATGATATCCTCTCAGTCTCATTTTCCTGTTGATGTGTGCAGGAAACGTGATGCTGGTGCTCAGATCCGCCGTTAACTGTGTGCTTGTTGTTTCTGGTTTTCTTCAGTCTGTCGCTATGCGTGTCACAGGAAGTGCTGTCTGAGGATGACCACCACATGCAGTAAGAAGGTAAGAACGCCTTAAAGTAGTGCTTGACCGACAGATATGTCATCCTTCTGATAGCCTGCGGTCTAGATATTGGATGTGACTCATCTTTGAACCACAGAATCTTTGTGCCTCAAACCTTCATTAAAGTAAAACGTTCATCAAGACAATCTCTGATGTTGGCCTGAGTAAGCCTGTAGTACTTTTAAAGTTTGAAGTAGTTTTAAACCTTGAATTTGATTGGTTTTGAAGGTGATACATTCTGTCAGTGACATAGAAAGACAGACATACTGGTTGCTAGGGCATTGCTATGCCGTTTCTGAGGTTGCTATGGTATTTGAGGTGATTGCTACAAGAGTGTTGCTATGCAGTTGTGATGGTGTTCTGGATGGTTGGTATGTAGTTGTTCAGTTGTTCTGGGTTGTTGCTATGCAGTTACTAGGGTATTTGGAGTGATTGCTACTAGGGTGTTGCTGTGTGGTTGCTAGGATATTCTGGGTGGTTGATAGGATGTTGCTATGCATTTGCCAGGTGTTCTGGATGGTTGATATGAAGTTTTCAAGTGTTCTGGGTCATTGCTAGGGTGTTCTGATTGTTGCTAGGCTATTTGGAGTGGTTGCTAGGGTGTTGCTATGCAGTTACTAGGCTATTTGGAGTGATTGCTAATAGGGTGTTTCTATGTAGTTGCTAGGGTGATCTGTATGGTTGGTATGCAGTTGTTCAGGTGTTCTGGGTCATTGCTAGGGTGCTGTTATGCAGTTATTAAGGTGCTCTGGGTGGTTGTTAGGCAGTTGCTATATTTTGGGTGGTTTCTAGGATGTTCCTATGCAGTTGCGAGGGTATTTGGAGTGGTTGCTACTAGGGTGTTGCTATGTTGTTCTGGATGGTTGCTAGGGTATTTGGAGTGTTTGCTACCAGGGTGTTGCTATGTAGTTGCTAGGGTGTTCTGGATGGTTGGTATGGTGTTGCTATGCAGTTGCTAGGGTATTCTGGGTGGTTGCTAGGGCTTTGCTATGTAGTTGCTAGGGTATTCGGAGTGGTTGCTACCAGGGTTTTGCTATGTAGTTGCTAGGGTGTTCTGGATGGTTGTTATGCAGTCGTTCATGTGTTCTGGGTGGTTGCTATGCAGTTGCTAGGGTATTCTGGGTGGTTGCTAGGGCTTTGCTATGTAGTTGCTAGGGTATTCGGAGTGGTTGCTACCAGGGTGTTGCTATGTAGTTGCTAGGGTATTCTGAATTGTTGTTTTTCAGTCGTTCAGGGTGGTTGCTAAGGTGTTGCTATGCAGTTGCTAGGGTATTCTGGGTGGTTACTAGGGTTTTGCTATGTAGTTGCTATGGTGTTCTGGATGGTTGGTTTGCAGTCGTTCAGGTGTTCTGGGTGGTTGCTTGGGTGTTACTATGCAGTTGCTAGGGTGTTCTGGGTGGTTGCTAGGGTGTTATAGATGGTTGCTAGGGTGTCTAATAGGGTGTTAAACTTAAACATGTCTCTGAATATTCTCTCTCTTATGACAAATGATCTTTCTGTGCCGTCACCAGTTGTATGTGAATCATCTTTGTGCTTCAAACTTCATTACAGTCATACTTTTCATTTGATTCATTTGTGTGTGTGTGTGTGTGCGCTCAGTTTGACCCCGAGCTGTCTTCACGGCAGTTTGGCGTTGAGTTGTCTCGTTTAACGAGCGATGAGAGAGCCGTCCCGCTGGTGGTGGAGAAGCTGATCAACTACATCGAGATGCATGGCCTCTACACCGAGGGCATCTACAGGAAGTCTGGATCCACCAATAAAATCAAAGAACTCAAGCAGGGGCTGGACACCGGTGAGCTACACACCAATGACATCTTACAGTAACATTTAGTCAAGTAGAAACCTTCATGAACAGCACCGCATGTTTGCCTTCATTGCAGATGTGAACAGTGTGAATTTAGACGACTACAACATCCATGTGATCGCCAGTGTGCTGAAACAGTGGCTGCGTGACCTTCCAAACCCCCTCATGACCTTTGAATTTTATGAGGAGTTCCTCAGGGCTATGGGTATGAGCACATATCGGATTTACGAAACGTTCTTAAAAATAGAATTCTTCTTAACTGCTGTTTTCTTATTTTCATACATTGTGTGTTCCCAAAAATACTTAGGAATGTTCTTGTTTTTTCTTAAAAATCCTAAATTACTTGTTGAAGTTGGGATAATCCCCAACTTGTCTTAAATCCCCATTGGTAAGATGTTTATTGAATTTATTGGGTTATTTCAAATATTAAGCTTTACAACATAACACTAGCTACATATAATAAACCTAAAGTGACACCAGTTATCGATAAGGTTACAATGATTGGTCATGCATTTGCATTTGGTCATGATTATGCATGACTAGACTTTTTTTCTGAATTCAAAATTTAGTAACAAACTACAAAAATGAGCCAAATATTGACTTTGCTTTTTTTTTTTTGTAAATACAACCATTTTTAAAGGCAAAATCTTTAATTACTATTTAAAATACATTAAAAATATAAATAAAAAATAAATGCTGAACTCCCGTCAAGCAGGTCTCTGCAATAATAGTGTGCACATATTATGATTATTACATTAATATGCATCGAGTTGATCAGCAAGTCTTCTGCAAAAACCAACATACAATCATAGAGGACATTTTTTTATTAGGAAAAATACAAGATGTTTTTAAGAAAACATTTGAGAACTTAATTTCTTAGAATATATCTAAAGAAATTTCTTAACTTCTTTCTTAAAGGGACAGTTGACCCAAAATTTTAAATTCTGTCATCATTTACTCACCCTCATGTTGTTCCAAACCTGTATGAATGTCTTTCTTCTGTTGAACACAAAAGAAGATATTTTGAAGAATGTGGGTAACCAGTCAGTTGATGGTAGCCATTGACTCCCATGGTACAGAAAAAAATATTATGGTAGTCAATGGCTACCGTCACCTATCCCTTTAAGTAGATTGTCTTGAATCCTGTTCTCTCACTGTTTTCAGCAAAACACTATTTGAGCTGATTTACGTGGATATAATGTGTGTGTGTTGTCACTTTGGCTGGTGTAGGTCTGCAGGATAAGCGTGAGGTGGTTCAGGGGGTTTATTCGGTCATCGATCAGCTCAGCCGAACTCACCTGAGCACACTGGAGAGACTCATATTCCACCTGGTCCGGTGAGACGATAGCCTGGATGGTTTTACCCAGTGCCTGTAGATACAGCAGGATGGTTACAAGTTATGTTTCATGTCTTATGTTGGTTTGTTTCAGGATCTCATTCCAGGAGGTGACGAATCGCATGTCTGCCAATGCGGTGGCCATCGTGTTTGCACCCTGCATACTGCGCTGTCCCGACACCACCGACCCGTTACAGAGCGTCCGGGACATCAGCAAGACCACTGCGTAAGACTCGCTATATGCTACCTTCAGAACACAATACCAGTGTACTGCATACTATGGAAGCTTATTTCTGCCAAGCAATAAAAATATATAAAAACAAAAGATAATTGAAACTTTATATCTCACAATTCAGATTTTTTTTGACACAATTCTGAATTTAAGTTAGAATTCTGAGAAGAAAAGTCAGAATTGTGAGAGGAAAAAGTGGCAATTACTACTTTATTTTTTATTCCATGCCAGAAAAAAAAAAAAACTAATTACGAGAAAAATAAGTCAAAATTGTGAGATGTAAACTCAGAATTACAAGGAAAAAAATTCAGAATTGCGAGAGGCAAACTCAAAATTCAGAAAAAAAAAGTCAAAATTGTGAGACGTAAAATCAGAATTACTAGGAAAAAAGTCAGAATTGCGAGAGGCAAACTCAAAATTCAGAGAAAAAACGTTACATTTTGAGACGTAAACTCAGAATTCCGAGAAAAAAAATCTAATTTGCGATTTGTAAACTCAGAATTCCGAGAAAAAAAGTAAAAATTGCGAGATGTAAACTCAGAATTCAGAGGAAAGAACGTCAGAATTGCGAGATGTAAACTCAGAATTCCAAGAAAAAGTCAAAATTGCGAGATGTAAACTCAGAATTCCGACAAAAAAAAATCACATTTGCGAGATGTAAACTCAGAATTCCAAAAAAAAAAAAACGTCAAAATTGTGAAATGTAAACTCAGAATTCTGAGGAAAAAAGTCAGAGTTGCGAAAATTAAACTTAGAATTCCAAGAAAAAAATCTAATTTGCGAGATGTGAACTCAAAATTCTGAGAAAAAAGTCAAAATTGCGAGATGTAAACTCAGAATTCTGAGGAAAGAATGTCAGAATTGCGAGATGTAAACTCAGATTTCCGGCAAAAAAAAATATATAAACTCGGAATTCCGAGAAAAAAAAGTCAAATTTGCGAGACGTAAACTCAAAATTCAAGGAAAAAAGTCAGAATTGCAAAATGTAAAATCACAATTATGAGTTCATATATTTTAGCTGCAAGATACAAACTGTGAGAAATTGTGAGAAAAAAAGATAAATATTCGCAATTACCTTTTTTTATATTTCTATTCCTTGGCAGAAATAAGCTTCCATAACATTCTGTATACTGCCTTACATTTTATGTTTTTGTAAAACAGTATGCCGTCCAGCTATACATTTGGTTATTTAGCACGTTCAATACCATTTATAATATGTGTTTAAACATTCCCTTCTCAGGTGTGTCGAGCTGATCATCTGCGAGCAGATGAGGAAATATAAAGCCCGTCTGAAGGACATCAACACGCTGGAGTTTGCCGAAAGCAAAGCCAAGAGTCGGCTGACGCACATCCGGCGCTCGATGGTGAGTGAAACGACCCCCAGAGCCCCAGACCGACCCAGCACCTGCACCCTGACGCCCTTCCCATTTAAACCGTCCCCATTGTGAAACCTCACTTTCCATGAATGTGGCCCATGAAATTTAGATGCACAAATCCCTTGTTCCCCATGTAATGAGAACTATTGAATATTTTAGCTAAAAGATTATCTAATTTAATTTTGTCACATTTGATAGCTTTATGTATGTGTGTGTGTGTGTGTGTGTGTGTGTGTGTGTGTGTATAAAATGATAGTCTTTTTTTATTTAATGTTACACTGATAGCTTACTCTAGGCTATAAATCTAAAATGTATATAAATGAATCCATATATAATTTATAATGTTAATTTATAATTACTGTCTATTTTTTGTTGAATGTTACACTGATAGCTTAGTTTATGCTTTAAATATCAATTTTATATAAATATATTTATACTTAATATACTTAAAATTAATAAAATAGACAAATATAAAATGTAAAAAATATATACATAATTTGTTACATTGATAGATTAATTTTGATTTTTATTTTCAACTATTCACATTTGATAGCTTAATATAGGCTTAATTACTTAAAACTTATTTTTTATATTTATTTTTATGTTTAATGTTTATTTTATATATACATATTTATATTTATATAATTAAACATTTTATATATTTTTACAATTGTATAATTAACAATTATAATAATTATTATTATTATTTACTATTTGTTTTGTGTGTAATGTTTATGTTTACATTTAATTAAATTGAAATAGTAAATAGTAATTCCAAATTGCGTATAATGCTTTTCACTTCGATACTCAAGCTTTAGTTTCTACAAATTGTGAACTCAACCTTTTGACATCTGAAAATTGATATTTCATCCATTTAATTTATTATTATTTTATTATTTGCTAATATACTTAAAATTCTATATATTCAAAATGTGTAAAATTTAGAATTGTTTAATAATTCACATTTAATAGCTTCATTTTGGCTATAAATATAAATTGTATATATACAAATGTATATTTATATAAACATAAAATGAATAAAATAGACAAATATACGATTTTTAAAATATATACATACAATTTATGTTACATTGATAGATTAATTTTTTTTTTTTTCAACTATTCACATTTGATAGCTTAATATAGGCTTAATTAATTACTTATTTTATATTTATTTTTCTTTATTGCTAGAATCAAATTGGACAAATCAGTGTTTTAAATTGTATTCAGTCATGTCCCAAATTCTGAGATACAGGGTTGAAAAAATGTCCAAACTACACATAAAATACATTTTAAAAATGGCTAATACAAGTTTGACCTTCTCAGCTTTTTTAAAGCCTCATTCATGGAAAGTGTCGCACATGTTTTCAGACAGACATTCCTCTAATCCTGTTTTCTTCCCTTCACTCCTCTCCTCATCCTCCTCTTCCAGAAACCAGTACTAATTGCGGTTAGGTTTATTGGCATTACCAGAACTGCCACCGCGGTACGTATCCACGCCGAAACATCGTCGTCCCAGTGTCAGTGTAGCGTCGTTAGCTGCCATCCGTGGTTTGATGACGTGTTCATTTGCGCCTGTTGAAGACGTTCAAGCTAATTACCAAATGCTGTCGTGTGATTGGTTGTGAGGAGCGACCAGATGTCAAGTCCTGTTTGTTTTCCGCTTGTCTTGTTTTCCCGGCGCATGCGGCGTGCTGCTGTATTACTAATACCTCCTCTTCTTTTATTTTTCCTGCATTTGCGTTATTTCACAGCCAAACGCAGCTAAAAAGGTAAAGCTCAGTGACTGTGTGTGTGTGTGTGTGTGTGTGTGTGTGTATATGTGTGTGTGTGTGTGTGTCTCGCGCGTCGCAGTGCTGTCTGTCAGTCGTGCTAGACTTTGTTTTATTCATTCACATGCGAACACAAGCCGGAGACGCAATTATACGCGTTTTATATAAATCTGACATTTTATATAAACCAGTACATTTATGCACAAATCAGTGTGTGTTAAGCACACTAGCTTGCCCTACTGAGTGCTAGCTTAATTTTGGATAAATCTGTAATCTTATAGCAACTTATAACAATTTGATTAAATGTAATTTAACTGTTAATAATAATTCCAAAATACCTACACTGCTTTTCACTTGGATATAAAAGCTTCAGTTTCTGTTCTACGAATTATAAAGCATAAACTTTTAATAAAAATTTATCAATTTTTTCATTTATTTTTGTTTATTTAATGTTATATTGACAGCTTCATTTATGCTATATCTGTAATGTTTTTTTTTACTATTCACATTTGATAGATTAATTTAGACTATAAATATAAATGTTATATGAACATAGATATTTATATATAAATAAATATATATATTTGTTTTTTATTTTTAATTTTATGATTGTCTATTTAATGTTACATTAATAGCTTTAATTTGATAGCTAAATTTGTAATTATGATTTTTTTTGGTAAACATTCACATTTAATAGTGTAATTTAGGCTATAATTATACATTTTATATATATATATTTATATTTATATAATTAAACACTTTATATATTTTTAAAATTGTATAACATTAACAATTATAATAATAATTATTATTATTTACTATTTGTTTTGTGTGTAATGTTTATTATAATGTTTAATTAAATTGAAATAGTAAATAGTAATTCCAAATTGCGTATAATGCTTTTCACTTCGATACTCAAGCTTTAGTTTCTACAAATTGTGAACTCAACCTTTTGACATCTGAAAATTGATATTTCATCCATTTAATTTATTATGACATCTGAAAATTGACATTTCATCCATTTAATTTATTATTATTTGTTTTTAAAAACAGCTACCCTAGGACTTCATATCCTATTTTTAATTCAAAACGCTTAGTTTTGGAATAATTAGTTCTTATGCGCCGGTCTGCTGTTTTCATCAGGGTCAGGGGCGTTTACGCAAAAGTGGGCGCCACACGCCCTCGCCGCCCTTAAGCCCTCGAGCAGCAGAGGGGGCGGAGCCGGGCGAGGAGGGGGCGGAGTCTGCGCTGAGTGAGCAGCAGCAAGCAGCCATGCAGCAGGAGGAGAAAGTGTTGTCTCAGCAGATAGAAAACCTGCAGAAAGAGAAGTTAGTAAAGACCTTTTGAGCCATGATTATTGTTTATTTCCTTGATTTCTTACTGTCGTTATCGCTTCACTTTAGGGAAGAACTGACCTATGAGATGCTGGCTTTGGAGCCCAGAGCGTCCGATGACGAGATGCTGGAGTCGGAAGCATCTATCGGAACAGCAGACAGCTCAGAAAACCTCATGGAGTCGGAAGGCGCCGCGTCCGATCAATGGGGTGATGGCGCTAGTTTGCTTGTTTGCTAGAAGTAGTTTTAAAGAGATAGTTCGCCCGGAAATGAAAATCCTCATCCCTCATGTCATTCCACACCCATAAGACTTTGGTTAATCTTCAAATTAAGACATTTTTATGAAACCTGAGAGGTTTCTGTTCCTCCATCCAAAGTCCAGGTAACCAAAACTTAAAAGATCCAAAAAGGTAAAAAAAAAAAAAAAGGAATTGACGTTACAGTCGGGATCACTAATAGTTACGCCCCCAACATTTGCATATACCCACCCATGTTCTATGCCAGCCGCCAGCCGAATCATCAGAAGTTCTGCAGGTGTTGAAGAAACAAGCGAGGATAATAGTGAAAATAGCAGATCATGGAAATAAATGTAATGTTCCAGGCTGTGCAGGGGATGTGAAGTGCAGGGAAGGGTTGGTGTCTGTATTCAGAAAGGCACGGAAAAGAAATAACGCTCGTTCTAATAAAATAACGCCAGCCACTAAAGGGACATGGTTAGCCACTTGCTAGCGGTAGCCTGTTACATTACAGTACATAAGATTTCACTTACCACATAAACGGAGTAAGGAGAGATGACTGAGGATGATGGCGAATGATTTACAGATCCCGAGCACCACTGACAAGCATCTGATCTTTTAAAATGTGTGGTAAGTGCTGCCGCTGTAGTTTACACAGAGCACGTGCGATCGCAAATCTCAAACGTGAAAGTAAAAAGCGATCGTGCATTCGAAAGCAATTACCCAACAATATAACTGCGAGAGACAGTATTGAAATATATATTTTCCCTGTGTTTCCTTCCTGCTGTGTGAGCTGAAATGAGCCGCACTGTGAAACAGCCAATCAGAGCAGAGCTCAACATTATTATTCATGAGCCTTCCAAATAAGGTTATAACAGACCATTTCATTCTAGGGACAAGTCCTAGGGTTGTAAATGGACATGTAAAACCGTCTCTGGAGATTTTTTGCCCTTAACTAAACCACGTACCTTCTATGTAGGTATCAGAAAACAATTTAAAATATTGTATCAATGCATTCTATGGCACCTTTAAAACGAATTCATATGAATCAAGTGGTTTAAAACAAGTCTTGTGAGGAGATTCGATCACTTTTCCTCCTTTTAAAGTCCAAGTAACCAAAACTTAGAACATTCAAAAAGGTCATAAAGGTATCGTAAAACAAATCCATATGAATCAAGTGGTTTAAAACAAGTCTTGTGAAGAGATTCGATCACTTTACAGACCTTAGTCAGGTAAGCCGTATTGACTTTAGGATGAAAATGAGGACGTGAGGGATACATTTGCAATTTACTCACTTTATAAAGCACCTACATTGTCATTTTCACAACTTTCAAAACTGTTTTATTTAGAGTTTTTAGTCCAGACTTGCGTTAAACCTCTCTATTCATATGGATCCGTTTAATGACGGCTTTATGAACTTCTGAATTTTGGTTACCCAGACTTTCAAAGGAGGGACAGAAACCTCTCAGGTTTCATTACAAATATCTTCATTTGTGTTTCGACGAACCAAAGTCTTATGGGTTTGGAACAACATGAGTGTGAGCAAATGACAACGCGATTTTTATTAGTGCGTGAACTAACCCTTTAAGCATCGCACATGTTTTGAAGTGTCAAATGTCTCCTCTGTAGACAAAAGCCCCGGCGCCGTGTCGGCAGCACGCTGGAGGAAGTCCGAGTACAAAAGCAGACGCAGTTTACAGCGTCAGCCTGAATCTCTGGACTCGGTGGACTCGGCCGTAGCCTCGCTGTCCTCGGTGTCGTCCACGCCTCACTATCGGGTTCGTTCGTCCTCTTCCGGGCCGCTATTTTCCTCCAGCTCTCCCGGCAGGGACTTGCACATTCTCCCCGACCAGGAGGGCTCCGAACAGGCTTCCCTGAACACCCGATGTGCCTCCAGCTCCGAGAAAACCCGAGGGAACCGAAGCTGCTCGCCAAAGCCCCGCGAGCCGGGCGAAGGCGTTGCCGGCAGCCGAAGACGAGAGCATGACTTCGGTTCTTCTCAGCCTTTGGTGCTGTATGGGAGTAATGAATTTATGGTGTGACGACAATGGTGTCCAACGTTAGCCGGAGCTGGTAAAGCAGGAACACCAACGGATGTCCGAATAACATTTAAAGTGAAAGAGAGAAGGCTTGGGAATCAACCTTCAATTGCTCGGTGATCAAAATTGTAAGGAAGGTACTGAATGGGGTTTTTACGAAATGTACGACCTACTGACTGTAACGGACCTGCTGGACTGGTCCGTTTCTCACAGCAAGAGTAGTTGAACGGGGAAAGAGCGATTTTTAATCACCTGAGCCAATCAGAAGTCAAGCGACTTCAACCGAATGCATGCCGTATTGCTACTATTTTATTTTCACTCTATGATTAAAACCTTTGATAAAGTGCTAAATATGTAAAATAATATTATATATATCTCGAACGAATCATGTAAATAGCTGAAATCTCTGTGCTGCTGAGTAACGTCTTTTTGTGTTGCAGATTGAAAACTAGAGCGTGTGAATCTGGTGTTTGTCTCTGTATGTTGTTTCTTATGGGTGAGTGTGACAGAAACGCACATGATTTAGGTCTTATTTCGTCCCATTGTTTGCATAAAGCAAACAATCTTGGTTTTCTTTATGCAAAATGGATTTGAAATCTGACCCGGACATGTGCTTTAACCCATGTTTTATTTGCTTTTTTGGTTTCAGCAACACGTTTTCCCTTCAGATGAAAAAGCACAAGGATGAATAGGGATGAGAAGTCAGATGTGTGTAGTTTTACTCTCCATCCTTTTTTTTGTTCATCAGTGTTATGTGCAACCAAATCAGGACTTGAAAAAATATTTTGTCCTTTTTTTTTTTGGTTAATTGCTTTTTTTTAAAGTTTATACATGCTGATATTTTATTGTGGATTTCAAGTATATGAATATTTTTGGTGTTCCACTGTGCCATCTGGAGTCACATGTTGTCCTTTGTTTAAAAATTAGTTTTAATTTAGGGCTAGTTTATCACAAACATCCTCTAGCTGCGGATTTTTACCCTTTAAACTGTCATTAGTTGATTAACATGCACATTTATAGTTCATAGAAAACAAGGACACGTAACGGCAAAAGCTCAAAGCTTTTGTATGAGCTATATAGTATGTTTACGCAGTCAGCATTGCTGTTTATGTGCAGGGAATGTGTCTCCAGAAGCTGTTTACTCTTTTCGATGTGCTGTTACAGATATCTATGTCTATATCTATGTCATATCAGTCATAGCCAACTGCAACAAACCATCTTCATGGTGCAATATCACAATAGACATTAAGCTATGTTTTTATGTTCTGATGAGTATACTTGGGTACTATCCTAATCTTAAGGCCACTAATGCTCAAAAACAGGCGGTAAGAAGGAAACGGTTGTTTGTTGCGTCCTGCATAAGTGAATGTAATCACTGTAGCATGCCACACTATTGTCAAAGTTTCTCTTTTACAGCCACTGTATTTAAGACCATGTCTGAGGCCGGAAACAAACCCGAATGCAGTCCCGTACATATTTAACATGTATTAAGGTGTGGTCACATTAGCTAAATTTTGTGTGGAAAAAAAGGTTATCATCCATTCCTACTGGATTCCTATTGGAATGACTGGATTTCGCACATGAAATTTCGCTGAGCAACAGTAAATGTCAATGCACCTTTTTACTATGGCTTCAAAACTCATTGCCTTATGGAAGCCCATTTCTGCCACATAAGAAAGAAAAGTCGAAATTATCACTTTAAATGTTGTAATTATGACATTAAATGTAGAAATTCACAAAAAAAAAAAAAGACTGAATTTTGACTAAAAGTTGAAATTATGACATACTGTATTAAGTCGTAAGTATGAGATAAATCGAAATTATGAGATTGTGTAGTTATGACATCCCCAAGTCAAAATTATGATTTAAGTAGAAATTCACACAAAAGTTTAAATTATGACTAAAAATTGAAATTGACACACTGTATTAAGTCATAATTATGAGATAATTTGAAATTATGAGATTGTCGTAGTTATGACATACCAAGTCAAAATTATGATTTAAGTAGAAATTCACAATAAAAGTTGAAATTATGACATACTGTATTGTCATAATTATGAGACGTCAAAATTATGAGATTGTCATAGTTATGACATACCAAGTCAAAATTATGACTTCAAAAGTAGAAATTCACACAATAAAAGTTGAAATTATGACATTAAATGTAGAAATTCACACAAAAAAAAGACTAAATTGACTAAAAGTTGAAATTATGACATACTGTATTAAGTCATAATTATGAGATAATTCGAAATTATGAGATTGTCGTAGTTATGACATACCAAGTCAAAATTATGACTTCAAAAGTAGAAATTCACACAATAAAAGTTGAAATTATGACATACTGTATTGTCATAATTATAAGATAAAAGGCTAAATGATGTCTTTGTCGTAATTATGACGTACTAGGTTGTAATTATTACTTTAAAAGTTGAAATTGACACTGTACTAAGTCATAATTATGAGATAAAAAAGTCGAAACTGTGGCTTTAAAAGTTGAAATTATTACATACAAAGTTGAAATTGATATAAAAAGTCAAAATTAAGAGCTAAAAAGGCAAAAAAGTATTTAGCATTTTTTTAAAACTCAGTTGACTTGTCAATTTCGCCTTTTAAAGTCATAATTTCGACTTTTTATCTCAATTATGCCTTTTTATGTCAATTTCGACTTGGTTTGTCATAATTTTGAATTTTAAAGTAATAAGTACGGCTTAGTATGTCATAATTAAGATTTTTAAAGTTTTATCATTTTAACTTTTCGTTGAAAGCATGATTATTATTATTTATTTTCGGAAATGGGTTTCCATAATGGGGTGAGTTAATGTCAAATGTCTGTTGTTAATCCGGATTTAGGTAACTAGCAATAAACGTGTTGCCAGGTTAGCTAACATTAGGCTACCTGAGTATGTGAGTAGTTGAGCTGAAAAGAAAAACTGACCGTTATAATGTTAATGAGCTTTAAATGCGCTCCTCAGGGTTAAAAACAAGGGATGTAATTGAGGGATGTAGGCTAATATCTGGCATATGACGATTGTTTGTGTCGAATGATCCTGCTCTGTGTGTTTTGATTTACTGACAGTCTCTACATTTGTGCTTCGTGTTTGTGCTCTCATGAGCGCAGTTGTAAACGGTGCAATTTGTGTAATATTTCTTTAATGTGCAGATGTAAGGATGTAAAAAGAAAAATGAACATAATCATTGTCTTATTAAAAAAGATGAAGAAAATGAACCTGCTCAGGTTTTCATAGTCGAGAGAAAGGCGGCGGAAATATGCTTTCTATTAGTCTTTCCGTCAGTATTAACCATTTTATTCTAATAGTGTCTAAAGAGAAATATGGACGCATCCTGTTTTAATCAGGCTATTTTAAGCGCTTAAACTAATAGAATTAGGCTACAGTATTTTACAGACTTGCGATTCACAACCTGCATTTTCTGTAACGTTATTTTCTGAAAAATATAATTAAATGATAAAAATATAAACTAAATGTCACAACGATGTTTTTCACGATGTTAGTCACTGTGAAGTGGGTGTGTCCTGATTTGTTGCCTGTTGCTGGGCAGAACAAACCATTTGGAGTTCAAATATAAAATATAAGACTTCTCCTTGATTTAAATTATGACTCAAAATGTGTGCTTGCACAATGAAATTGTCAGATTATTTGGGGTTTATTATAATAATAAAGATTGTTTTACTGCAGTAAAATAATAATGGAACTCCAAGGCATTCCAAATCGTTTATTTTATAAAACAGTCATAACTTAATAATTTTAAACTAAAACCATATTGTATCTGATCAGCAACTTCTCATTTCTTCTGAATGTGAAAAATGTCAAAGTTTTGAACGTTACCATGTCATTACCGTATTTACCCCTTTTTGATTAATAACAAAAAAAAGATATTCTTTGAAATTTCTAATTACACACAAAAAACTGTGTAACTAATGATTTCTCTAAAACAGTCCAAATTTATGAAACCTACATATTTATTTCTAACAAAACATCAAATATAACTGACAAGTTTTCAAACAAAATTTTACTTGCATAAAAAGTGATCAATTCTTCATGCTGCAGTGCTTCATCAATCGATGCACATATTCATGTTTATTAGCTAAATTCACTTCCAAAAGTGTGTGAGATATGGGGAAAAGGCGAAATATATTGTACAGAAGTTTTTAGACACTATATAACTTCAGTTAATTTTTCAAGCAGTATTTTTGACACCTAATTGTAACCCTGCTGACTGTAGTTGTGTGCGCGGGACAGTGACACAATCACAACTTCTGCAGGCCGCGTTTACAGTCAGCAAATTACAAAATCACCATGGCAACAGATGCACAATTCAAACCTGTCACTTTGCCTGTTACCATGGGATCAACACTGGGCCTGTAGGCTAGTCTAGAGGTGTTACCATGGTAACAGGCAGGAGACCTATAAGACTGGGAGCTATTAGATTACAATTAATGAGTTCATTTTAGTTTGTTTGGAGGTATTTTTTAGACTTTATTGTAACTTTCATATGATAACATTTGGATCTGTTAAGCTTTGTTTAATGAATATAACACAGACTAGATATAGGTCTGTCTGATTAATGTCATATGCCCATAGTACATCGCTTTATAATTTCAATAATTCATATATATTTAATTGAAAAAAAAAAAATCAGTTATGAAAGTGAAAACATGTTATGATAGATTATGTATTGTGAAAATATTACATTTAAAAACAATGCGTGTAATTCTACACTAAAATATTGTAAAACAAATAAAAAATATGGTCACCAAAATACTGCATTCAAAATGTAATTAACTATAAAATGTTATGTAAAAATGCATGTAATTCTACAGTAAAATACGTAAAAATAGTTACCAAAATGTTTGATTTAAAAAAAATGTAAGTGAAAAATACTATATTTAAAAACAATTGATGTAATTTTGCATTAAAATATTGCAAGTTTTGTTTTAATAATAAAAAAATAGCATCTAATTTTTTTTAATGTAGCATTTTGGGTCACCAAAATACTGCATTCAAAATGTAATGAACTATAAAATGTTATGTAAAAATGCATGTAATTCTACAGTAAAATACGTAAAAATATAGTTACCAAAATGTTTGATTTAAAAAAAATGTAAGTGAAAAATACTATATTTAAAAACAATTGATGTAATTTTGCATTAAAATATTGCAAGTTTTGTTTTAATAATAAAAAAATAGCATCTAATTTTTTTTAATGTAGCATTTTGGTGACTACAAGTGAAAAATATATTTTTTTAAAACACAATTGATGTAATTTTACACTATAATATTGTACCAAGTATAAGTATAAAAAATATAGTCAAAATGCTATTCATTCAAAAATCTAATAGGTTACCAAAAGTGAAAAATATTATTTTTAAAAACACAAAACATGTAATTCTACAGTGAAATATTGTAAAAAACACCTTTTTAATAAGTATAAAAATTATAGTCACCAAAATGCTACATTTAAAAAAAATAATTTAACGAGAAGTGAAATATATTATAACAAAAATGCTACATTAAAGAATTTAAATGGTTAACTATGCAAGTTAAAAATATTATATTTAAAAAAACAATGTAATCTTATTATGAAAAGTATAAAAATTAGTCACCAAAATGCTACAATAAAAAAAGATTTAACTAGAAGTGAAATATATCATAATAAAAAACAATGCAATTCTACACTAAAATATTGTAAAAAAAATAAAAATAAAGTATAAAAAAAGTAACCAACATGCTACATTAAAGAATTTAAAAGGTTAACTATATAAGTGAAAAATATTATAATATTATATTTGAAAATGCATGTAATACTACAGAAAAAAAAAAATTAAGTATGAGTGTAAGTATATTTAAAAACAATGCATGTAATTCTACTAAAATATGACAAAAAACACTATGTTATGGTTAATGTTTTTTTTTTTATTTGACGTAATATTTTAGGACTAATTAAATTTAAGACAAAATTATGGACATTTTTCACATTTTGAAGAGTATCTGCATATCGGTGGCAACTAGGCTTTTAGAAACATGAAAATTAAATATCACATTTTCAAAATGATCACAAACGTAGTTCAAGTTTTTTCATTGGAATTATATTTTGCATAAAGTTCATGTACATGATGAGCTGTATGGACAGTTATAACAATATTCAGCCACGGGAAGGAAACGTTAAAGTGGCTTTATCCCGGAGAAACACGGAAATAATCCCGCTGACTCGGGAGTGACGGGATCTTAAATACTCCAACCTTCTGAAAGTCCAAACGAGAAGCGTTTTCTTCACGTCACTCGTCCATTTCCACGTCTTCTGCCAGTTTCTGGACCATCTTGTCCTCCAGCTGTTTGGCGTGACCTGCAGAGAGCCGTCAGGCGTGAGAGCAGGGCATTCTGGGACAGGTTTGAGAGATGCTGTGTTAGTGTGAGCTTTACCTGCGTGTGGAGCTCTGATGAGGTGAATGTTCTTCTTGACTTCAGTGATATCTGCTGCCTTCTCCAGCTCTTTGCCTTTCTTCAGCCTGAGCAAACACGCAAACGCTCGTGTAAATGACAAAACCCACACACACACACACAATAAAGTGCGTTACCATGGAAATGGTACTTTAAAATCTTTTGGCGGTCTCCTCCCCCTTAGTGGGCGGTGTGAAGTGTCATATTACAAAATGCATTATGGTCTTTTACAATAAAAACTTTATAATCTTGACAAAATACATGTCATTGGAAAGGTCTGAGTCTCAGGATTCCATATTTGGTGGTTATTTTGAGATAGAAGTAAGATTTACAGAGAAATCTAGACATTTGTGACAGAAAAATGCATAAAAAAAATTCAATGGAGTTTGGATGGCACCCGGTGGCTGTTTGTGGTATAACACCCTAAATACAATCTCACAGGAACCTCAATTTTTTTCATATCAACTTAAAATTTGGAACATAACTTATTTAGACACAAGGCTTTAATTGTATTCAAATTTTAGAGTAAAACCTGTTATGTAAAATATTTACTATATATAAAATAAAATTAGTATAGCGCATTTTCTTTACAGTAAATGTAAAGAAAATGTTTACCTTCTTTAAAAAGAGACCAACCTTAGGTCTGTATTCTAAAGTGTTCATAAATTACAACAATTTAAGTTTGGATCGTGCACTTTATTGCCTATTTTAAAAAAATGGGGGGTGACAGTTAAGGGGTTTATTTCAGCTAGTTGCCAAGGCAACATTTCTCATTTTCATTTAGTTTTACTTGATGTAGTAAAATAACAAACTAAAACTGAAATAAAAAATGTATAAAAACTATAGAAAAAAAACACCTAATAAATTCAACAACCTTTATTTATAAAAATTGTTTTGTACCTATGGGACACAATTGTCCTGGCCAATCAAATGCCGAAAGCCTGATAAAGATAAAAATCAGCATACAGATTATAGTTAATATTGTATTTCCTAAAAATTGACGCCAGGGGCAGCATATATAAAGAAAACAAAGTTGGACCAAGAATAGATCCCTGTGGGACCCCACAGGAGAAAGTAACAGATGTGGAGTTATAATTTCCAATTTTAAAAGAACAAGTCCTATCCTGCAAATAAGAAGAAAACCACTTAAGTGCAACACCATTAATCCCAACGTAATCTCTAAGATGTTCTATTAAAACAGCATGATCTACAGAGTCAAAAGCAGCGCTCAAGTCTAAGATCATTAGGGCAACACCCTTCCCAGAGTCAATACTCAAAAATATATAATTAAAAACCTTTAGCAGCACTGATTCTGTACTGTGCTTGGTCCGAAATCCAGACTGAAAGACATCTATTATATTATTCTTAGTCAGAAAATCAACAAGTTAGATATGAACAACTTTTTCCAAGATCTTGTTCATGAAAGATAGTTTTCCCCTTGAGATTCCCCTTGAGTCTATTTGTTACTTAGAAAATTCACAAACAAATCACTAAGCCTTTAGCTCGAATTAAAAGGAAAACGTAAAATATAAAAATAAAAACTAATTCAAACTATAACAGTATCTCACTGATGCTAAAATAACACTGTATGAATCAGCTGACCTTTGACCCGTTCAGTCATGGATGATCAGGAGAAATAGCAGTAAGATGAGCTGCTAAACTCCATCAAACTCACCTGTTCAGGATAAAGCGCGCCTGCCGTTTGTTTTTGATGGATTCAACCTTCTTCATCGCCTCCACTGTTCAACACAAGCACAGCAGCCAGAGTCGTTTTTAATGAATTCATCACACATTAATGAGAGAGAGAGAGAGAGAGAGACTCACCGGTCTTACTCCAGAGCTCTCTGTTGTATTTGACAGGAATATTTCTGCGCTTCTCAAACTCCAGTGAGTAATCCTGACAAACACCATCAGATTCACAGCATTTTATGTCATGAACACACAGCTGGCTCCGTGTGAGTGTGTGTGTGTGTGCGTGTGAGAGAGAGAGTGAGAGAGAAAGTGAGTGTGTGTGTGTGAGAGAGAGAGAGAGAAAGCGAGTGTGTGTGTGTGAGAGAGAGAGAGAGAAAGCGAGTGTGTGTGTGTGAGAGAGAGAGAGAGAAAGCGAGTGTGTGTGTGTGAGAGAGAGAGAGAGAAAGCGAGTGTGTGTGTGTGAGAGAGAGAGAGAGAAAGCGAGTGTGTGTGTGTGAGAGAGAGAGAGAGAAAGCGAGTGTGTGTGTGTGAGAGAGAGAGAGAGAAAGCGAGTGTGTGTGTGTGAGAGAGAGAGAGAGAAAGCGAGTGTGTGTGTGTGAGAGAGAGAGAGAGAAAGCGAGTGTGTGTGTGTGAGAGAGAGAGAGAGAAAGCGAGTGTGTGTGTGTGAGAGAGAGAGAGAGAAAGCGAGTGTGTGTGTGTGAGAGAGAGAGAGAGAAAGCGAGTGTGTGTGTGTGAGAGAGAGAGAGAGAAAGCGAGTGTGTGTGTGTGAGAGAGAGAGAGAGAAAGCGAGTGTGTGTGTGTGAGAGAGAGAGAGAGAAAGCGAGTGTGTGTGTGTGAGAGAGAGAGAGAGAAAGCGAGTGTGTGTGTGTGAGAGAGAGAGAGAGAAAGCGAGTGTGTGTGTGTGAGAGAGAGAGAGAGAAAGCGAGTGTGTGTGTGTGAGAGAGAGAGAGAGAAAGCGAGTGTGTGTGTGTGAGAGAGAGAGAGAGAAAGCGAGTGTGTGTGTGTGAGAGAGAGAGAGAGAAAGCGAGTGTGTGTGTGTGAGAGAGAGAGAGAGAAAGCGAGTGTGTGTGTGTGAGAGAGAGAGAGAGAAAGCGAGTGTGTGTGTGTGAGAGAGAGAGAGAGAAAGCGAGTGTGTGTGTGTGAGAGAGAGAGAGAGAAAGCGAGTGTGTGTGTGTGAGAGAGAGAGAGAGAAAGCGAGTGTGTGTGTGTGAGAGAGAGAGAGAGAAAGCGAGTGTGTGTGTGTGAGAGAGAGAGAGAGAAAGCGAGTGTGTGTGTGTGAGAGAGAGAGAGAGAAAGCGAGTGTGTGTGTGTGAGAGAGAGAGAGAGAAAGCGAGTGTGTGTGTGTGAGAGAGAGAGAGAGAAAGCGAGTGTGTGTGTGTGAGAGAGAGAGAGAGAAAGCGAGTGTGTGTGTGTGAGAGAGAGAGAGAGAAAGCGAGTGTGTGTGTGTGAGAGAGAGAGAGAGAAAGCGAGTGTGTGTGTGTGAGAGAGAGAGAGAGAAAGCGAGTGTGTGTGTGTGAGAGAGAGAGAGAGAAAGCGAGTGTGTGTGTGTGAGAGAGAGAGAGAGAAAGCGAGTGTGTGTGTGTGAGAGAGAGAGAGAGAAAGCGAGTGTGTGTGTGTGAGAGAGAGAGAGAGAAAGCGAGTGTGTGTGTGTGAGAGAGAGAGAGAGAAAGCGAGTGTGTGTGTGTGAGAGAGAGAGAGAGAAAGCGAGTGTGTGTGTGTGAGAGAGAGAGAGAGAAAGCGAGTGTGTGTGTGTGAGAGAGAGAGAGAGAAAGCGAGTGTGTGTGTGTGAGAGAGAGAGAGAGAAAGCGAGTGTGTGTGTGTGAGAGAGAGAGAGAGAAAGCGAGTGTGTGTGTGTGAGAGAGAGAGAGAGAAAGCGAGTGTGTGTGTGTGAGAGAGAGAGAGAGAAAGCGAGTGTGTGTGTGTGAGAGAGAGAGAGAGAAAGCGAGTGTGTGTGTGTGAGAGAGAGAGAGAGAAAGCGAGTGTGTGTGTGTGAGAGAGAGAGAGAGAAAGCGAGTGTGTGTGTGTGAGAGAGAGAGAGAGAAAGCGAGTGTGTGTGTGTGAGAGAGAGAGAGAGAAAGCGAGTGTGTGTGTGTGAGAGAGAGAGAGAGAAAGCGAGTGTGTGTGTGTGAGAGAGAGAGAGAGAAAGCGAGTGTGTGTGTGTGAGAGAGAGAGAGAGAAAGCGAGTGTGTGTGTGTGAGAGAGAGAGAGAGAAAGCGAGTGTGTGTGTGTGAGAGAGAGAGAGAGAAAGCGAGTGTGTGTGTGTGAGAGAGAGAGAGAGAAAGCGAGTGTGTGTGTGTGAGAGAGAGAGAGAGAAAGCGAGTGTGTGTGTGTGAGAGAGAGAGAGAGAAAGCGAGTGTGTGTGTGTGAGAGAGAGAGAGAGAAAGCGAGTGTGTGTGTGTGAGAGAGAGAGAGAGAAAGCGAGTGTGTGTGTGTGAGAGAGAGAGAGAGAAAGCGAGTGTGTGTGTGTGAGAGAGAGAGAGAGAAAGCGAGTGTGTGTGTGTGAGAGAGAGAGAGAGAAAGCGAGTGTGTGTGTGTGAGAGAGAGAGAGAGAAAGCGAGTGTGTGTGTGTGAGAGAGAGAGAGAGAAAGCGAGTGTGTGTGTGTGAGAGAGAGAGAGAGAAAGCGAGTGTGTGTGTGTGAGAGAGAGAGAGAGAAAGCGAGTGTGTGTGTGTGAGAGAGAGAGAGAGAAAGCGAGTGTGTGTGTGTGAGAGAGAGAGAGAGAAAGCGAGTGTGTGTGTGTGAGAGAGAGAGAGAGAAAGCGAGTGTGTGTGTGTGAGAGAGAGAGAGAGAAAGCGAGTGTGTGTGTGTGAGAGAGAGAGAGAGAAAGCGAGTGTGTGTGTGTGAGAGAGAGAGAGAGAAAGCGAGTGTGTGTGTGTGAGAGAGAGAGAGAGAAAGCGAGTGTGTGTGTGTGAGAGAGAGAGAGAGAAAGCGAGTGTGTGTGTGTGAGAGAGAGAGAGAGAAAGCGAGTGTGTGTGTGTGAGAGAGAGAGAGAGAAAGCGAGTGTGTGTGTGTGAGAGAGAGAGAGAGAAAGCGAGTGTGTGTGTGTGAGAGAGAGAGAGAGAAAGCGAGTGTGTGTGTGTGAGAGAGAGAGAGAGAAAGCGAGTGTGTGTGTGTGAGAGAGAGAGAGAGAAAGCGAGTGTGTGTGTGTGAGAGAGAGAGAGAGAAAGCGAGTGTGTGTGTGTGAGAGAGAGAGAGAGAAAGCGAGTGTGTGTGTGTGAGAGAGAGAGAGAGAAAGCGAGTGTGTGTGTGTGAGAGAGAGAGAGAGAAAGCGAGTGTGTGTGTGTGAGAGAGAGAGAGAGAAAGCGAGTGTGTGTGTGTGAGAGAGAGAGAGAGAAAGCGAGTGTGTGTGTGTGAGAGAGAGAGAGAGAAAGCGAGTGTGTGTGTGTGAGAGAGAGAGAGAGAAAGCGAGTGTGTGTGTGTGAGAGAGAGAGAGAGAAAGCGAGTGTGTGTGTGTGAGAGAGAGAGAGAGAAAGCGAGTGTGTGTGTGTGAGAGAGAGAGAGAGAAAGCGAGTGTGTGTGTGTGAGAGAGAGAGAGAGAAAGCGAGTGTGTGTGTGTGAGAGAGAGAGAGAGAAAGCGAGTGTGTGTGTGTGAGAGAGAGAGAGAGAAAGCGAGTGTGTGTGTGTGAGAGAGAGAGAGAGAAAGCGAGTGTGTGTGTGTGAGAGAGAGAGAGAGAAAGCGAGTGTGTGTGTGTGAGAGAGAGAGAGAGAAAGCGAGTGTGTGTGTGTGAGAGAGAGAGAGAGAAAGCGAGTGTGTGTGTGTGAGAGAGAGAGAGAGAAAGCGAGTGTGTGTGTGTGAGAGAGAGAGAGAGAAAGCGAGTGTGTGTGTGTGAGAGAGAGAGAGAGAAAGCGAGTGTGTGTGTGTGAGAGAGAGAGAGAGAAAGCGAGTGTGTGTGTGTGAGAGAGAGAGAGAGAAAGCGAGTGTGTGTGTGTGAGAGAGAGAGAGAGAGAGAGAGAGTGAGTGTGTGTGTGTGTGTGTGTGTGTGTCTCTCACCAGCGTCAGCTCTTTACCCACTGATTTCCTGAAAGCTTTGGTCCATCTGGTCTTTCTCGGGTTTCGCTTCTTCTTGAAGTTTTTGTGGCATTTGGACCGGCAGAACCCGAAAACCTTCAAAACACCAAAACCTGTCAAGATCCACACTGACAAACACAAACTGAGAATATGCCAAAAGTACCATAATACTAACATGTTTTATTGTATCCATTGTATTGCAGTATTCAAACAATAAATGCCATTTTGGCGTTGTTTAACGTGGAGTGACAGATCGCTGTAGCGCCTCAGTGAACTGGTCATCTCCTCCGCTTTATTACTAGTTATAGCACAAAATAAACATGACTAAACATCCGAAGGCAAGTTAAAAGAAAGAGTATAACTTTACAATCTGTACCCTGTCTCATGTAATCGCTCAATCAGTGTTTCAGCCGCGCAAAGACATCAATATAACGGCTTGTAAACAATGTCACGTAACGTCACATTTACCTCAGAAAAACATATTCGGTGACCATAAACTCATTAGTCAGATAGAAAAAATAAACTGTAGCGAGGGGCATTTTGCTAAATATATGCATCATATAACATATTCATTATACAGTTTACTGTTCTTCAATGTTTCATTTGTTTGAATAAATCCATCAAGTTTTTATGACAGCCACCATTATGTTTATATTACAAAAACTGAAGTAGAAATATTATGATGTAATTGTAACTTTATTATTTTAAAAACTTCATTAAGTGTAATTTTAACAAATCAGTCAATTTTAACCTTCAATATTATAGTAATGTAGTTTGTGGAATTTTTTTTTGTAATGTTTTCTTTTTTCACA